TAGGTCGGCTTCAGTCCCACGATGCCGCACCAACTGGCTGGGATACGAATGGATCCGCCCTGGTCCCCACCAATTGCCATATCAACAACATTTCTGGCAACCTATACAGAACAAGGGGGGGGGGGAATGTTATCTAGAATTGAGTCAAACTCAAAAACACACCAAACTGGGGTTCTCTTGGCGTACGTGCATCTGATGAATACTGCAAGCCAGTGTACGAGACATACGCAGCATATTTTAACAATGCATGTTTAAAGCATGAATTAAACAGGGAAAAACAATTAATTTACCAGAGAAGCACATCCAGAGCTAGATCCGCCTGTTGTTCTTGTTGGATCATGAGGGTTTTTAACAGGTCCTAAGGGTAATGTAGATCCATAGCCAGAGAAACACAGGTCTTCACAGACAGCCTTTCCAGTAATTCTCCCTCCTGAAATAAATAAAAATTATAACATGAACCACTTGTACATTCTTTTTTTAAACTGTCATAGGATGTATTTTAAGATATTTTTTTCCTAATATAATGGGACATTCTAATACTATTAGGCCTACAATTACCTATACTAGAAGTTTTTTGTATTCTTACTTCTGCTACTACTACATGTACCTGCATCCAATATTCTTGTAACAACTGTAGCATCTCTATCAGGTACGAAACCTTCAAGAATTTTACTTCCATTCATCATAGGAACTCCAGCCACACACACGTTGTCTTTGATTGCAATTGTTTTTCCCGCCAACAATCCATTATTAGCTCCTTTTATGTCACACTTGTAATACCTAAAAAAACGAAATACAATTTCTATTAAAGATAACATACTCGAAATGAATAATTATACTGGTTATTAAATATTTTAAAATTTGAAATAATTTATTGTATTTATGTAATATTTTACGGTTTCTAAAGCTTGGCACATCCCTGAATCAAATTCTAGATTCATCTATTTAAAAAAATACTTGCCAAGAATCATCCTTTGTCTCCCTGTAGCCGGGGGTCCTTGGGTATTTGACGGTAGGAGTTGGTGGAATGAGTTCATAGATCCTTTGGTAACCTTTACCAATATCTCCACAGAATTCTACGAATTAAAATTTTTTACCAAATTCACTGAAATTCTATTTCAAGCATATACGTTTTAAAAATTACAAAGTTCTATAAAATTTCCGGTAATAAAACAAACTGCACTTTTTCAATCATGAATGCTCAGGTTCTTCTTGAAAATCGAGAAAATTAAAATGCATATATAATCCTCATTTTACAGGGTTGTATTAAGCTTGCTATAGATATACAATACTCATTAACATTAAATGAATGTACGTTCTCATACCGTGTATTGCTTTGGATTCCTCTGGCGTTAGTTTAAGTCTCAGTTTCTCTGAAATGGACTTTATATCTTCCTCTGATAATCTGGCAACCGCAGGACTTCTTGTAAATTCTGCAAGATGCACATTTTGCAAAGAATCCCATTTCAGTTTTCTCAAATTGGAATAATTTTTTTTTAATGTTGTTTCTTCCTTTTTGCGTTAAAAATTGGAAAACCCACTTCTTGATATCAGTGTCTAACGATGATACAGCGAGTAACGTTTTGTGATAAACAATAACTTTATATTGTTCAATTATTTGAACACTTGGGATTTTGTTTTTATAAATTCAAAAGCAAGATAAAATATCTTCTCATTAGCTATAAATTGTAAAAAGTACTAGTAAGTAATGTAAATGATGACTTAAACCTTCAAACTGAATATTGAAAATGTGTATGTATACGGGTGTTGCTAAAACGCGGAACGGAAAACGGAACGGAAAGCGGAACGGAACGGAAAACGGAATATACTATTTTGGATTAAATCACTTAAAATACACAAATTTTATCATAAACGATATATCTTGTACATATTCAATCAATACAAGTTGATTTTGTCATGCTCAGTCTTTTATTTACGATAATCGCTAGCATAGCAGTCACCTAGAATCGAATTTGAAAAAAAGGGGAGGGGTAAACGAACTTGAAAAGTATTACTTTGACAAGCACAAACACAAAAAGAAGACAATTGATTGATTCGGGAGGGGGAATAAGTTCCAACTCCAACATCTTTCAGTGCTATTTTTTTATAATAACCTACTACATTAATTACATTCACAAAAAGTATGAGGATGTCAACTTGAACGAACATTTCCGTAGTAAAAAGGTTATGATTGGGGGCGGGGGGGGGGGGGGGGGGGGGGAGGAAAGAAATATTTGATATAAAGATGAACCATGGAAAGAAATGTTAAAATTTTAATCAAAATAGAGCCGCTTTCTATATATTTAAATTCTGGATAGACAAAGTTGGAAAAAGTTCATGTGGTAGATATAATGCAGAATCTTTGCATTCAGTGAAGTTAAATTGTGTTTGTTTGTGGTACGTATGTGTGTATGGGGTTTTTTTTCGGGGGGGGGGGGGGGGTTATATGAATGACCCCGTAAAAAATGAGTTTGTTTTCCCCCTCATCGGAAAGGTCTGAGAAGTTGTAATAGGTCTGCCCCATTTTTGTGTCCAAAATATACATAAGCTTTAATAATTCAATTTTTATTGTGGCTGTGGGTCCCTACACAGGCCCAGATCTGCCACTCTCTCTTTCATGATTCGCAAATTCGACACTGTGTGCATAATCTGAATATCATAACTAGCTATTTTTGTCTTTAAAGATATTGACATTGGAAACAAATTGAAAGAGGGGGGGGGGGTCAGTAACAAATTTCCAACATACAACAAATTTGACAAGCGAAAAAAGGGGGTATATGTCCTTTGCCCATGCAAACACAAAAATCCTATTTCGTGTGTGTGTGTTGGGGGGGGGGGTTCGAATTTCTTTCAGTACCATTTTTTCCACGAAGGGTATATATGACTCATGAATATATAAAAGTTTACAATAAATTTTCATTAGAAATGACTTTTACAACAAGAATATTGCTCTTTTTATCTTATTTATATCGAATCTATGTTATTTGTTTGACAAAAATTTTCCGTTTTCCGTTCCGTTCCGCTTTCCGTTCCGCGTTTTAGCAACACCCTATGTATACATGTATGAGACATTTAAAATGTTACGGTTATCATGGTTATATGTTTCAAGTGCTTGTCGTATAAAACGCATACTTGCTATGTAGAAAGGTACATTCACATGATACTTTATTGTGTATGCAGAAAAAAATAGACCAAACTTTCAAGAACTGTTTTTAAACTGAAATAAACATATAGAACTTACCCTTTTCTTTGGAATGTGACATTTTAATTCGACTTTCAAAAAAAATAGTCTCTCTGCTGGTAAATCCTTGTAAACTTCTAGGAATTAATACTTGGAATGGAAAGTCCCGGGATCTTTGAAGTCATGAGGTGGAATCTTCATATCATGATGAAAACCTAGTTCTTAGCTAGTAAATATAGATATTGTATATGACACTATACGTGATTAAATACACGAATGCAGCGCTGGGGTCAATAATTATTATATAACTATGGAACGCCGTCACTGCCTTATAGCAGAACACTACTATTGCATTGTGTCAACCTTCCATTACATTATGTCAACTCTTTATGACATTAACCCACCCTACTATTGCATTGTGTCAACCTTCCATTACATTATGTCAACTCTTTATGACATTAACCCACCCTACTATTGCATTGTGCAAACCTTCCATTACTGTATGTCAACTCATTATGACATTAACCCACACTACTTTTGCATCGTGTTAACTTTCCTTTACATTATATCAACTCTTTATGACATTTACACATACTACAATTTTATTTCGTCAACTTGCATTTCGTTATGTTTACTTTTCATGACAATCTTAGTCTTTATTAACTGATGTGAAAAGCTCATGCCATACTGTGCGCACTCTTCTACATTATGTCGATTCACTATTACGTTATGCGAACGCGGGTATCCTCGGCCTTTATATGAGCATAACGTATTTTCAGCGTTCCGCAAGCACTAAAATGGCGGGAGAGAAAACTGTCGTAGAAGAGATTCTCAGCGATTTCGGAATGACATCTTTAAATGAAAACTTTAAGCGACAAATGATTGACAATCTTGAAACATGCAAAGCCTTAACACTGCGACTGTGAATTAAAGTCACGTCGAAATTCAATGGTGTTTACTTTAATCTGATAATTAAAAAAATCAAATATTATGAGTCGTGCAGCAATCATTTTTTTCTTTTTATTTTCAATTGTTTCTTTTTTTTTTTTTTTTTTATAAAAGTCTTAAACTTTGTAGGACATTGCATTAGTTTCACATTAAGTTTAGCTGAATTAAGTTGAAAACTTTTTTCTATAAAACTATAAAGCCTGAGAGCTTCTCCGCTTTCCGCCCTTGGTCTCCAACCATATACCGTCCCCCTTCCTTGTTCAAGATTCCCATATCTGCCACTGATATGTGCCCATGCATGCTTACTAAGGCATATTCAATTGATTTAAATGAGCGACTGGTAGATTTTTGTAATAGAATTCTGGCCCTGGAATGATTAAAAAAAAATACTAACTCCAGTGACGTAGCATCATTTTTTTGAAAGAGGAGGTCAGCCAGTAAAAAAAATCATTTATCCGAAAAAACTAGACAAGCCAAAGAAAAAAAATGTCCAAGCCCGAAAATCCTATTTCGGGGAGAGTGGTCCAACTTCAATCAATCCTATTTTTTTCCAGATATATTATATTACCCTTAGTGGACTATATTTCAACAAGAAGTGGGGGTGGGGGGGGCTGTACAGTTTCAATGAACATTACATTTTCTATAGTAAATTTATGTCTGGGAAAAGAGGGGGGTTGATATTATGTGCCTGTAATTTGTCCTAATCAATCACGACCCCCCCCCCCTTTCTTACTAGTCATTAAAACACGGTCGTCAACATTTATTATATACTAGATATACAGCTTTGAGATAATGTAAATGTATTTTTGCATCAGGTAATGAACTTGGAATCCACATGATAAAGAGTTAACACAATATAAAGATATTTTTAAATCACATAAGAAAGAGTTGGCATAACGTTATAATATATCCACATCACGGTATGGAGTTTTGACATAATGTAATAAAGTGTTGATATAATATAAAGATATGTTCACATTATGTTATACATTTTTTACACCACGTAATAAAGCACTGACATAAAGGTACTTGGTGTGTTCACATCACATCATGATGCCCTCGCCGTAAAATAAAGATAAATCCATATCACGTAATAATACTTTGATATAATAGAAATATACACTCTCAAAAAGGAATGGGCTTTTGACTTCGTGTGATGGTAAGTTTAATTATAAAACACAATTTACTTGACGTAATGCAATTTTGACCTCACATATTAAAGAAATGAAATGATGTAAAGAAACATTCATTTCACGTAATAAAGTTTTAACACAATGTAAACACATTATCACTTAACATAATGAATTTTTCACTTCAAGTTATGAAGTGCTGACAGAATGAAAGGATGTATTTACTTCATGTAATGCAGCATTGACATGATGTCAAGATATATTTTCATCATCCCATAAAAAATTGACATAAAGTAAAGATATGTTCACATCACGTAATGATAAATTGACGTAATAAATGCATAGTTGTATGCTATAATGCAGTGATGGCGTTCCATATATAACCGTCTAAATTTTGCCTTCACTATTCTGATGTATAGTACGGAACTCCAATATGCAGCTTTAACAGATTTATTAACAAAGGGGACAGGCTCCGCCATATAGCGGACGAGAGCGCTGTCCAGCGTGGCTGTCTTGGTGAAAGCCAACCGATAACTGAATAAAATGTACAAAACAGCAAATTACATACAATTACATAATATTTACAATAGAGTTATTTATCAATCAATTAAGCAATTATTTGTATCGTCCAGAGATAAATGTTTACTCAAGTCTTTAACTCTGAAGTCCTTGACACATGTTCAATTTATAATTAATCTGCCCGGAGGCGCTTTGATCATTGTCCCGGATTAACACCAATTTCCTTTGTCACAATTATTTTGACCTACGATGTCAGATAACATTTATACGACGGCGTATTAGTGCCATTTTAACAATGTAAAAATTTTTTTTTAAATCGTATGTACGATTTAATAAATCGTTTGAACGATTTAGTAAATCGTTTGTACGATTTAGTAAATCGTTTGTACGATTTAGTAAATCGTTTGTAAATTTAATAAATCGGTTTGTACGATTTAGTAAATCGTTTGTACGATTTAGTAAATCGTTTGTACGATTTAGTAAATCGTTTGTACGATTTAATAAATCGTTTGTACGATTTAGTAAATCGTTTGTACGATTTAATAAATCGTTTGTACGATTTAATAAATCGTTTGTACAATTTAGTAAATCGTTTGTACGATTTAATAAATCGTTTGTACAATTTAATAAATCGTTTGTACAATTTGTTTGTTAAATCGTTTGTACAATTTATTAAATCGTTTGTACAATTTATTAAATCGTTTGTACGATTTAATAAATCGTTTGTACGATTTAATAAATCGTTTGTAAAATTTAATAAATCGTTTGTACAATTTAGTAAATCGTTTGTACGATTTAATAAATCGTTTGTACAATTTAGTAAAACGTTTGTACAATTTAATAAATCGTTTGTACAATTTGTTTGTTAAATCGTTTGTACAATTTATTAAATCGTTTGTACGATTTAATAAATCGTTTGTACGATTTAATAAATCTTATTTTTTGTACAATTTAGTAAAACGTTTGTACAATTTAATAAATCGTACAAACGATTTATTAAATCGTACAAACGATTTATTAAATTGTACAAACGATTTATTAAATCGTACAAACGATTTAAAAAAAAAATTCTACATTGTTAAAATGGCACTAATACGCCGTCGTACATTTAATCCTGTCAAATAAACAAATTATTCAATCATGCCCTATTGTGTATTGCATCAGTAACAGACAAGTGTTGGTATACATAAATGTTGGTATTACTCGATTAAAATGCAAAATACCTGGTATATCAGGATCATATTATAGTTTTTAAATTTATAAGTTATATAATAGTTTTGTAGTATCATTATATTTTCTTTGATATAGAGGAAATAGAAAAAATATCGAAACTGCTTTCAGAAAGACAGAGCTATAATTTTGGTAGAATTTAGTGCAGGATCGAGGGTGGAATTCATTACCGCGTAATTTTGCGAAGAGCATCACTTGCCAAATAAGATAACTCGCTTTTATTTTGATGGTGCTAAAATCCATGTTAATTCTCTTGATCAACCGGCCGTTCGCGAATAAAAATTTCCGCGATTTGAAGTTAAAGAGCTGTTTTGCGATAATAAGTGCTCACGAAAAATAAGGAATACAGTATTTCTTTGTTTGTACTACATACTCTCACAGTGTCTGGTCAGGAGGAAATTAATTGTACTGTACCAAGCTACATGATAAAAGAAAACTAGATGCTGTCATGAGACAGTAATACCCGCACTATGGTGTTTGCCTCTAAATACACACTCCTTCATATTGGACTTTCCAAGGAAGAAGTCAAAATAATTCTATAATTATCACCGTACATGTATTCGTCAAATTGAACATAAAATTTTCAGGTGACCATATGATCTATGAGCCTCACATATGTATTTTGAATACTTAATTCATTACCAGTCTGAAATAACAGAATTTAATTAATGATTGAAGTAAATTACTTAATTAGATTCAGATAAATATTTTGCCCATAATTTGGAACTTTTTAAATTTACTTTCTCAACGACATAAAATATTATTTTAGTACAAAGCGTTTTTGATGAATTTATCAAAATGTGCAAACTGATTTTAGTACTTGGTCGGGAAAAAACCCCATTGAAAATACAACCCGATTAATTTGTCAATGCCTAATCTCTCCCCCCCCCACACACACACACACTCTCGCTCTCTCTGACTCTCACATTTTTTAAAAATAGACCTAGATGGCAAAGTTATCGGTATGTTAAAACATAGTTTATTATGATAGTTTGAAATTTGTTCTTGTACTAAACAGTTTTACGTGTGAACATTCACATTGAGTTTGCGTCACCCATTATCATATTTATAGATATCACCTCTCGGCACACCTCGGCCGATTCATACTGGCAACGGAATCAGCAAAGGTTTGTCGAATGAGATTATTTAGCACATGTATGCTGACGATGCAGTGTGGTCAGTTAAAATCATTTGTGTTTTAATTGGATTATATGGATTATATTTCATGAATTCGTTGTCACGACCTATGACATTCGGTAAGTACAAGATTTAGTATAGATTGCATAAAAATAAATAAATGAAAATGGTTAGGTTGAAGTTCAAAAAGGGTCAAAGATCATCGCATGCCACAGTCGACAAATTTCACATTGTCAATTAAGTTATCTCCCGTTGCGGACATTCAGTATATACAGGCGCAGATCCAGAATTTTTTTT